ATAATAACATATGCTTCAATATGATGATAATGTAAACATGATGCTTTCATGGTGCATGAAATATAATAACACCTTGAATACAACTTTCCTTGATGCATGGTTGCAAGCCAACAAAACTAATTGGCATTAACATCTAGGGTTTATGACCTAAGTGACTTGACCAAATTGATCTTGAAACTCTACTGGGCACAAAACATGACCCAAACAAGATCAAACCCTAACCCTAACACTTAGGGTTTGCTTTTATTCAATTTTGAATTAATTTGGAAATAAGCCCAAAAATAAACTTATTCCAAATGACCTCAAAATTTTATGTAAGCTTCCTCATAACAAATTAGTGTACCAAAATAAATTTCATATTTTTTGGAGCCATACAATGACCTACAAAAATTATGGAAATTGCATTTATCAATTAATTGACTGAATTTTTGAACATTAAAAATTTATTCAAATTTTTAAACCGTAATAGAACATGTATAGAAGCTACACACACATTTTCAGAATTTTTGGAGCTATGATTATTTTCCTACAAATTTCCAAAGATTCAGCACTATTCAAAATCAGAAAATATCAAAGTACACTATTCTCTCTCTCTCACCGACGCTTGAACCCCACTCGTCGGTGACACATAACATAACACGACGGCAAGCTTGTTTGCTATCGATTAGTCGGCCCAAAAGCAGCGACCGGCGGAAGTCTCCGATGAGGCGCACCGCACCTAAATGATCTACACCATCTCTCTAATCCATCCCGATCCTCTCGAAGGCAAAAGGCGCTGAGGGAGCTCCACATCGCCATGTGGCGGCGCGGTCACGGCGGTACAAGCCGCAGGCGTAATTCCCGACAACGATGCAAAGAGAGTCTAAAACGAAGCTAGCATCACGTTCAGTAGCTCACCACGATCACGCCGGTGTGCTTGATGAAGACGGAGATGGGCTGGAACGTCTTGGCCATGGCGAGGTCGATGGTGGCGGTACTTCTGCCGGCTCCGAGGAAGAAGGCGTTGCGCTGGGCGATTTCGGCCAACCCAAGCAACGCGAGCAAGTCGAAGAGGAGCGCAAGACCGAGGCGATCACGTTGGCGTGCTGGGCACGACGGACATGACTCGACGGTGGCTATGGCGGCGCGGCCGAGCTGGTGGCGGAGCGGAGAAGCGAGCGGGGGAAAACAGAGAGCGACAGCGACGGTTTTTGCGCTATTTATAAGCGGAAGAGCGCTGACGCCGACAAACAAGACGAACGGACTCGCCACGGTGCCGGCTGCGTGTCAACGCATGAGGAAGCGTATAAACCGATCGGCGGTGATAACTACGTATATGCGGCGAAGAAGCGAGAGGTGGCGCTCGGCTGATTTTCAATTTTGAAGTATTTACATAATTGCCACTGCATTAATTTTGCAAATTACTCACAAATTTTCTAAAGAAGTTGAAAATCTCCAAAAATGAAAGTTGCTCAACTTTTCAAACTCTACAACTTTGCTTAAAGGCACATTTTCAAATTCTGCCCCCATTTTGAAATTTGAATTTGGGGTGCATTTGAGTATTTGAATCATTTCAAAATTACTCCAAATTTTATATGTAAACTTGAAAAACTTTGAATACCAAAGTTGATCCTTATTAAATAAGCTTCAACTTTGCTTTTTGTCACAACCCCAAATTCCAAATGGATTTTAAAATAGACAAAAGGGGCAAAAAGGACCTTTATAATTGGAATTTGAATTCAAATTTGATTTGTTTACCTTTGGACTTAACTTTGATTTTTGACCAGTAACATGACCCATTAGGGTTATTTGAGTCGATTAACACATGGTCTCACATGATCACATGAATTTTGACTCTTGTGGTCATGATCTTTATTTAGGGTTTTGAATCACATCACATAAAATAACAACATTATGAAATAAAGCTTATTTAGTGAATGCATTCAACATTTTATACTTTATGAATGCTTTGCAATGCACATGATGACATGTCAAATTTTAATGATAGGTCAAAACACCAGAGGTGTTACAACCCTTCCTCCTTAAAGAAATCTCGTCCCGAGATTTAAAACTTAGGATTAAGTAATGGAAAAGGAAATGTGTCAAGCTAACACATCATAACTTTATTCAAAGGACTAGTGAGGGGGTTTTCCATTCTTTTGACAAAAGAGACAAGTTACAATATAGACAAGGTATTGCAACTAGATAGAGGCGAAGAAGTCAGGAAAGTTTTCTTCTAAGTAATCCTCGGACTTCCAGGTAGCTTCTTCTTCAGTGTGTTGGTTCCATTGTACTTTGTAGAACGTGATTGTACGTCTTCGAGTGACTCAATCTTTCTGATCTAAGACTCTAATGGGGTACTCAGCATAAGTCAAGTCAGATTCTAATTCTACATCACCAAAGTCGATCACTTGATGAGGTACTTGAAGACACTTCTTCAACTAGGATACATGGAAGATATCATGCATAGCTGACATGTGATCTGGTAGTTTGACGCGATAGGCGACTAGTCCACATTGTTGTTGGATTTGAAAAGGACCGACATAACGGGGCGCCAACTTTCTCCGAATCCCAAAACGATGAACTCCTTTCATCGGCGATACCTTGAGGTAGACATGATCTCCCACTTTGAATTCTAACGGTCGTCTTGGTCTTTGCCATAGCCTGTAGAAGTTAGGGTAGGACTATGATAGCTTGAGGATAAGAGGGTTAGCAAGAATGGGATTGACATTACTTACCCAACCACTTTTAATAGGAATTATTATGCAAGGTGTTCAAGCATGATGCATGAATCAATTTTACGAATCCGAGTACAAAAGATTTATACAATCAAAAGTACTAGATTTTTAATACATAGGACAAACCTAATCATATTATCAGACACAAACTTTCAAATAAGATAGGATTGAGGCTAGATCAGAGGTAAGAAGAAAGAAATTTGACTTTAAAATATCAAGTTTAATTTCTTTGATCCAAATCAGTTTGAAGGTTTTCAAAAGTAACCTACAATGATCTTAGATAGGACCTGCTCTGATACCAGTTGTGGTAGAACCTCCTAAGAAATCGGGTCCACATGCACCTATTGATGTCTCAACAGACCTCAGATAGCGTACACAAGTTCCCAACAACTTAACAGGTTTGTCGGGTGTCCTCGGGAAACACGAATCATCCATGAATCTTTTCCAAACAGGATCCCAATCACAGTCATTGCAGATTACAACAGTTTTCAATATACATACCAGAGATTATAAAGCGGAAGACTTAAGTTTTAATATTACAAACCAGTTGTTTCAAACTTACAAAACCATAAGTATCATACAACCATAGTAGCGGGATAATATTATATTAACATTATTTATTTCACACAAACTAGTGCCTTGTCCAAAGGCCATTCATCATTCCTCATCGTCATCAACTTCAAACACTGACATACAGCAGGGACCAAAACAAGCTTGCGCATGCGACTCACCTACAACAAGGGTTAACAAACCCTGAGTACAAAAGTACTCAACAAGACTGACCCGATGAAAAAGGGGCGAAGGTCTTAGGGATGCAGGTGTTGGGTCAAGCTAAGGATGTAGAAAGATTCAAAAGTTCTTTGCCAAAAGTTTACTATTCTTGATCCTAATTTCAAGTTTTACCACTAAATACTTTAGTTCATTATCTTCAACCAAGTGTTCATATCCCATGTTCCAATCCTTCTCATTCCATTCTTTTTCTCATGTTTTAATAATTCACCAGTCCTGCATTGCTTCTGTAATGAATCGAGTCTCCATATCCACGGAGCACCGGCAATTCGAATTGATTCAAGTCCCAGCTGGGGATTTCTCATCACACGACATATGTAGAACTTAATCTTGCATATCAACCTCGCTACCGGATCCTCCTATACTAAGCCGTCTCTACGCCACCTGAGAGCACAGCACACCTCAAATCCGGCCACATTCAAGCCAAGAGGGTACATGCTACTCCCGCCATCTCACCACTCCTAGTGCGTGGGCATTCGTCTTGGTATCAGATTAGCGGAAGTAGGCTTACCGGAGTATGTGACCAGTACTACAAAGTGTCTCGTTCAGAAGATCCACAATGAGTGGCCTTTATGCGACATAGTCGGCAACATTACCCAACATTCAAGATAAGCCACCCGACTAGTCTATAGTTCATTCTATCTTCTTTCTTTCTTTCTTTGGCCAGTATGCCATCTTCGATTGTATCCAAACTTTTACTTTGACAGCCTACCACAAAGCATACTAAGCAATTCTACGCCTTTGTAAATGAAATCATGTTTCAAGGATGGTAAACAATTAACAAGGTAGGCAATGCATCAAATAGGTAACATTTGAATTAATCAACTTAATGCAATAACTAACATAGGTGATAAACTTTTCAAAGTAAACAAGGTAATGGTTTAATGCATAAACCGGGGCTTGCCTTCGTTGACGATCTCGGGTTCCGGATCAGTACCACAAATATCAAATCCCGAGACAACCGGGGATTCTTCCACAACTTGCTCAACTAGAATCGTTTCACTCTCAGATTCTACATGAAATAATAACATATGCTTCAATATGATGATAATGTAAACATGATGCTTTCATGGTGCATGAAATATAATAACACCTTGAATACAACTTTCCTTCGCGGTACAGTTGCAAGCCAACAAAACTAATTGGCATTAACATCTAGGGTTTATGACCTAAGTGACTTGACCAAATTGATCTTGAAACTCTACTGGGCACAAAACATGACCCAAACAAGATCAAACCCTAACCCTAACACTTAGGGTTTGCTTTTATTCAATTTTG